CTCTGTCTGTTTCCATCTAAAGACAGTCAAGGTTTATGGAAAAGGAATAAATGCTGAGGCTTGAAGTGATACGATGCTGCCCTCGGTGAGATTTCTGGGGTGTCATTTCCCTACTGTTCATTGAGAACATGGAGAAGCTTAGCTCCAGAGCCACGGATGCCCGTCCAGGAATGAAGGCTCACAGCCCCAACTCTGTTTGGTCACCGATCCAACTCAAATCTCACTTGGAGTTTGGGAAGAGCCTGGGGCTTTTACAAGCCACATGCAGAAGCAGATCTGAGCCCCACATTCAGGTCTGGGTCTCTCTCATTTGCTTCTATCCTTTTATTCGAACTTTCTCTCAATAAAATTAAAGACTTGTGCTCCTTTAATGGCGGCAGGAGTGTCCCATTACGCTGCCTTTCAGGGCATCCTATTATGTGCGGTGGCTGCACTACTACAAAGTCCACTGGAGAGAAACACACACGTCTCTTCTTCAAAGAGCTTCTCCTGCACCATATAATGGGGTATCTTGGAAGAAACTACTTTCCTGACTGAATTAACCAGCCTTCGGGGAAGAAGAGGCTGGCACCCAGAAGGAATGCGCCTGATGCAATTTAGCTCTGAAGTTTCTTTGCTCAGACAATCCTTCTCACCCTCCCTATCTTCTCATCTCTCCCCTGCAACATCCAAAAAGAAAAAGGTACAATCCTCTGCTCCTGGATCCATCTGCTTTTTAACAAGCTGATTCCATCAGCTCCTTCTCACCTGGAGGCGTGACTGGAAATGACTGTGACCCACGGTGGCACAGGGTCAAGTTGACTCATAATTCAGATACGTGGGGAGCGAGATGTAAGATATTGTCTTCAATGGTGTCACTGACACAAAGTGGAGGCGAGCACTGGAGGCAGTTTTTTCAATATTCTGGGCCTTTTATGTCCATTTCTGTGCGAGGTGTTTGGAATTTTCTAGGAATGGCTGCGTTTCTTCCAAACTATTACATCATTCCAGAGAGATCTATGTTTCCACAGATCTGTGTCAACAAGATCAAAGTGGAAAAGGTGGCATCCACTCAGGATTTATGTCACATTTTGTTCTAGAATTTATTTCTTAATCTATGGGTATGAGATGATGTGATTCAGCCTCCTGTTTAAACAATGTATTTGGTCAGCAGTATGGGGCTGGAATCCAGTTTGGAAGTCTTCTACAGCAGCTGGATTCTACAGAGGCTTGTTTGTTGGTTCTGGTGAGGATTAGAGGGGAATGTTGACTCACTGATGGGTGTGAGATGATGTGATTTGGCCTCCTATTTAAAAACGCATTTGGGCCTGCCTGGTTTTAATTGATTTTGGTCAAACATTCTTCTAAGTGGTCTGTCTGTTTGCTGTACAGAGGTAACTCATGGTTGCTGTGATGCTAAACACTGTGACACTAATGTGTCAAATGTGATAATGGTTACCCATGGTGCACAGTGTTTGGTGGAGCTCCCCGATTAAAACAAGCTTGGAAGCAAGAGTGGCATTCATTTCCGAAAGAGTTTGCCTCCAGAAACTCTATGAATGTGGAGAAATGACAGAAGTTATACAAGTGTTCAGGTCTTTTGTTCATAAGGGTTGCTAAGAGTCATCTACAACTCGACAGCACTCAGCAACAACAACATTGGGCAAGAGACATGAGTGTGACAGAGTAAAATTATGCCTGGATCGGAAGACTACCTCCAAAGACAGTAGAGGCTACAAGGGACAAGGAGACCACACTGTATGACTAATAGCTGGCCCTTGCATTTGGGGAAGATGCTGTTATTCCTAAATGTGGACCCAAACATAAGAGTCAATCCTTTGCTAGGCTCCCTGCAGCATAACCAGTGAGGAAGAGAGAGCTGTTCATCTGACATTCATCTTTCTTACAAAGGGTAAGAAAGAAATGAAATCTATCTGAGGGTGAGGGGCATGAAGGATGCCCATCACCACATCAATAGCCCAGGTCATCAAGTACACAGGACGGTGCTTACTTTATTGAGCATTCTCTCATCCGTGACTCGTTTGCAAAGGTTTAGTCTCACTGAAGACTCATGTCTGCTTTCGCAGATACTGAGCTACAGAGTCAGCAGCCAGGAGAACTTACCGTCACGTTCTGGCTGTCACTGCGTGTGTCACCTCAAACAAGTAATTTCTCCTCTCTATAACGGAACAACCAGCACTAGCACCTATCTCTCAGGGCAGATTGGAGGACCACATAAAGCGATGCATTCAGAATACCTGGCCAAACAGACATAGTAGGTGTTCAGTAAAGCTGTTTCTTCTACACCCACCGTTATCACCATTCTTCAGCCATCATGTTCTAGTTCCTTGTTCCTCTCCTTTATTGTGGCACCGTCTCCGAGTCCAGTGACTAGAAGTCCCTCTCTTCTAAAGAAGGGGATACTCTTCCTACTGCCTGACCTCCACGTCTAGTCTTACTTTAAGATGTTCTCAGCTCAGGGCAGCCAGGATCAGCTTCATGGGTATGCTTTGTGTGCAGGACCACAGAGCTCCGTGATTAACTGCATGCTCTCCTATTACCACCTTGAATTTCTAAATTTTTGAACAAGATATCCTGTATTTTTGTTTTGCCTTTGGCCTTGCGGAGAGGAAATCAAATATCTCCGAAATCCAACACAATCTCTTGCAATATATATATAAATGTTGTTGTGTGTTGTCAAGTTGGAACCAGTCCATACCTGACCCTCCAGAGGGTTTTAATCAGTAGGAGTAATCACATAAGAAGAGACTGTCCGTACTTCTCCTGCAGAGCCGCTAGTGGATTTGAAACTCGTGCCTTTGAGATAGCAGTGCAGCTTCTTACCACTAGGCCACCAGAGCCATGCATAGAAATACAAATAGCTGATGTTAGATGGATCTTGGCTGAAAGCAGGGAATACCAGAGGAATGTCTATCTGTGTTTCATTGACTATGCAAAGGCATTTGACTGTGTAG